AAACAATAACTATGAAATATTGACAACAACATCAATCAATCTCACAAAAAGACCATAAATATAGGTCAAAGCAAACACTCCTATGAAGTTCAATAGAGAGACTCAATAATGTGCAATAGTCAGTTCAATCCCAATTCAATCCCAGTTCAATGGAAACTCATAGTCACCAATCCTTAAAGTGCTCTGTGCCATCAATATTTAATCCAATATGTTGAATTCCAAAGGAGACTTCTCCAGTTATAAACATGGAGATGTGACAAATAGCAATTCTTATCTTTCCACAGAAGGAATATGTTTGCTTTCAGGAACACTGGTGGAACTGGTTTGAGTCCAGTGGCACCTTTAGGACCAAGAAAGTTTTATTCAAGCTATGAGCTTTTATGTTCACGCACACGTCTTCAAATACAAGGGGATGTAAGGGAAAATATTTCCTATCTTATACATTTTTTATTATTTGTCCTCAACAAATGCAATTATGTTGTACAATCCCTCCCTTCCCTTCTCTTTTCTGTATCCCCACTGTCTTCTTAAATAAATAAATAGATTCTTTTAAAAGAATGCATATATGGAGGTGTGTTTAGTCCCATGTTGAATATCATGGTCACATGGTCATATGGATCTCAAGGCCAATCACACACACACCCCGTGCTTCTCTCGCCTTCCCTCACCTTAGGGTTGCCAGCCTTGGGTTGTAAAATACCTGGAGACTTTGGGGGTGGAGGCAGGAGAGGTCATGGGTTTGGAGAGGGGAGGGGCCTCAGCCTGGTACAATGCCATAGAGTCCACCCTTCTAAGCAGCCATTTTCTCCAGGGGAGCGGATCTCTGTCAGCTGGAGATCAGTTGTAAAAGCAGGAGATCCCCAGGCCCCACCTGGAGGCTGGCAACCCTACCTCACCTGCCAAGCAACTTGAATGGAACTAGCCCCAATTTTATGGAGCAATCTTAAAACCCTGTGCTAAGGCACAGAATCTGGGTCAGCCCTGTGTGAGATAATGGGCGAAAGTGAGGCTGTGGATGGCTTTTGGGTGCAGCAAAGCCTTTCAACTTCCCAGTTGGACTGCACGTTTGCCTCCATGCTTTGCTGCCATGCCAGAGAGGGAGAAGGATAGGCACTGCCTGTTCTCCACCAACAAAGCTATGCTCATATCCCTAAATTTTATAGAACTAGAGGGAGTTGTCTGGTCCCCTCGGCTCTGCCTATTTTTGAGAGGAAGCTTCTTCCTCAGTCACTATACAAAGAAGTAGTTTGGATGTCTGGAAATCTCCACACCATGGTGGTGGAAGGTGCCATCAAGCTTCAGGCAACTTGTCGAGACCCCATAAGGTTTTCAAAGCAGGAGACAAACAGAGTCTGTTTGCTAATTCCTTCCTCTGCCTAAAAACCTTGGACTTCCTTGGTGGTCTCTCATCCAAGTACTAACCAGGGCTGCTGAAGTCTAATGAGATTGGACCAACCTGGGCCAACCATGTCTCTAACATTATAGCTTCATATTAAAAGCCCTCTGTTTCCCAAGCAGTATTTTTATTTGCACGTTTGTTAAAAAGTAAGCTGGGAAAATTTGATCAAGATACCCCTGCAAATGATTACACAGCTTCAGGAAACTCTTCAAATTTGGGAGTCTAGTCACTGCTTGTCTTCTTGGTTGCTGTTGTTGCTGTTTTTCCTTAAAAAGACACATCCTTAAAACAGCTTTCCATTTGTAATGGTTACAAAGACAAGCAGAGCCTTGCTGGATCATACCAGGGATCCATCTAGTCCAGCATCCTATCTCACACAGTGGGCCAACCAGTTCCTCTGGAGGGCCAACAACAGGGCATAGAGTCAGAGGCCTTTCCCTGATACTGCCTCTTGGCACTGGGATTTAGAGATTGACAGCCTCTGAATGTGAAGGTTCTGCTCAGTCACCATGGCTAGTGGCCACTTATAGACCTCTCTTCCATGAATCTATCTAATCCTCTTTTAAATCTGTATATTCTTGTGGCCATCACTACATTCTTTGACAGTGAATTCCACATTTTAATCATTATACGTGTAAAGAAACATTTCCTTTTGTTCATCCTGAATCTATTGCCTTATAGAATCCTAGAACCATAGAATCACAGAGTTGGAAGGGGGCATACAGGCCATCTAGTCCAACCCCATGCTCAAGGCAGGATCAGCCTAGGGAATCCCTCACAATTGCTTGATAGAACTCTTGTGTTCTAGTATTTTAGAAGAGGGAGAAAATGTTCTATTTTTCAACTCTGTTCACCCCATGCACAATTTTATATTCCTCTGTCTCCACACTGCTTAGTCATCTCTTCTCTAAACTGATCTACAACTACCAAACCACAAATACTTCATTATCTTCAAGAAGTTGGGTATTTAATTTTAGCAATGCAAATGAGCCATTTTTATTCCTCCAAGAGTTGGTTCTCTTGATATTAAAAATAACTTTCTGCAAACTTAATTATTTTCCTTAGTTGTTGCACGAAACACCAATCTAAGTTTGGAGAACCTCCTTTGGGGAATGTTCTGCTTAGCAACAAAAAGGTTTCCAGAGAAAAGAAAAAAAGAGAGTGATGTTACAAATACCATAAATAAACACATTATTTTGACATTCAAGGTTTTATTGAATGCCAAACATTTTATTTTAAGTGATTATGATTTCTGGGTGAGGGGAAAAACATTTCTAGTATTAGATGATGGAATTATATCCCTCAATCATGGATCAAATATTTCCTGAAGAATATATCCTTTGGAAGATCAGAGAGAACATTCCACACTTCTGAAATTACGGGGTATGTATCATTGTTGGATTCTGGGCAAAGATGTGTTCCACCCTGTATTCTAGTTACTTGTCCTAAAAGGAGCTGAGTGGTTCTCATAATTGGATTGCTGTAACAAAATATTTCAATAGAAAGTTTTTAAATATTATTTCAGATGGGTAGCTGGGTAATCTTGCAGTGGCAGAACACAATTTGAGTCCTGTAGCAATTAAAAACTAACAATTTTCTGGGCTGTGAGCTGTTGTGAGTCAAAGCTCACTTCGTCAGATAGAAGGGTGAGTTCTTTCTGTAAGACTGCTGAACTAAAATCAATTAACAAGTTCAGGACAATGGACCCACCCACCCCACCCCACCCTGGGCTGAACAGGGACAAATAATCATTTTACTACAGGTACCAATGGTCTGTGTTTACCACCAGTATCCATATCTCCTTGTTCTAATCAAGGTGATTATGCATTGCATTGTACATCTGCATCTTCACTCCAACTGGCCCTTCTTCTTATGACTGCTCTCACCTTCTGTCCAGGATACAAGGGCTGATGGGTCTTCATCCTTTTTTATATAAACATTTTATTAGTTTCAATAGAGATAAAAAGACAACTACAGAAAAGGAAAGAAGGAAAATATATAAAATTATTTTATATGTTATTATTAGATATGAAATGCAAGTCGAGGTTGTAAAAGAAGCAATGATTAAATGGGCACACAATATAGGCCATAATATACAATTAGAACAATGGTCCAAGGTATGGAAAGTTAATATAAAACTTACAAAAGCTATTTCATATAAAGAGAATTTATATAAAATGTTTTATAGATGGTACATGACACCTGAAAAATTAGCTAAATGATTTTACAGATTGTAACCACTGCTAGAATTTTATATGCAAAGTATTGGAAAAAAGAAGAGACACCTACAAAAGAAGAGTTAATCTATAGATTAATGGATGTAGCAGAAACGGATAAACTATAATTACAAGAAAATCAAGAAGGAAATTTTGAAAAGAAATGGGCAGGATTCAACAAATGGCTTGAAAACTATCTTAGCAAATGTAAAAAAATAAACTATGGATCTCAAAGAGGTCTATTACAAGATAAAAGTACTGTATGAAGTAAGATGTATTAGAAATTGATTCAATAGTAACTGTAAACAAATAATGAAACAAGAGTATAGACTCCATTGTTGTTAGTTAGGGTCTTCATCCTTATCTGTATCTGAGAAAGTGAGCTTCGACTCACAAAAGCTGGAAAATTCCCTTTGTCTGTAAGTTGCTACTGGACTCAGATTTTGTTTAAATATTCTTGTCTGTGTGCATTTGTTAGTGGCATCCTAGATACTAATAAAGGTAATCAACAACATTCCTAATTGAAGCAACACAGCTGTTAATTTAGGCATTTCTCTGAGCAAACGGTAGAAAACAGCCCACATCTTGCTTTGCAATGTGCAGATGAAGTTACATGAAGTTCATCCGTCTACACCAGGAAGCAGCAGAATTTTTCTGCCGGGTGACAGAATAAAAAATAAATAAACCTTTGAGGATTTAAAGTCTTTACAGGAGACCACCAAGGAAGCCCTGAGTTGTTGCACAGAGTCAGGCAATGGCAAACCACCTCTGGTTGGGAGACCTCCAAGAAAGTCCAGGGTTGTTATGCAAAGGTAGGCAATGCTATGAGATCAGCATAAGTCAGATGCAACTTGACAGTACTTTCCACCACCAAAGTCTTTATAAAGTTTTCATAGCCCCCCCCGAACATATGGTTCCTTCTCTTTCTTTTCGAAAAAAGACTAAAGTCCAAAGCCATAGAAAATGAATATGCATATATACATAGAAATTGGAATTAGAGAAACATGAATTAATAACTTATCTTTGAGTCACATGGGGTAAGTTCTGAAGAGATAGTTTCATCATGTAACTAAGAGGATGTGTGTGTGTGTGGTGCCATCAACTGACAGCTGATGGAGATACCATAAGGTTTTTAAGGCAAGTGATTAAGCAGAAGCGGTTTGTCATTGTGTTCCCCTGCAAAGACTTCCTTGGTGGTCTCCCATCCAATTACCAGCTCTGCTTAGCTTCCAAGATCTGATGAGATCAGGCTACACTATACCATTCCATACATGTTCCCAAATAGGTATAATAAACTATAGGCATATGTGTCTGTGCAGATATGAGCTATTGTGACCCTTTTCTTCCATTTCTTTCTTCTTTTTTTTGGTAAAGGAAGGAAGGAGATGGAGGTGGGCAATGGAACATTCATCACTGAGTTTGTTCTTCTGGGATTTCCTGAACTTCACAGAATAAGGATGGCATTTTTTGCTCTTGTTCTTCTGATGTACCTCATTTCAGTTTTGGGCAACTGTTTAATCATCACGGTAGTCTTGATGGAACCCAAACTCCACATGCCCATGTATTTCTTCCTCAGCAACTTTTCCTTGGGTGAACTCTGGACCACCACAGTAGTGGTGCCGAAGATGCTAACCAACATTGCCTTGGACCAAAACACCATCTGCTTCACATGCTGTATGGCACAGATCTATATTGCTTTTTCAGTGGGAGCCACACAGTTCTTCAACCTCACTGTCATAACGTTTGACCGCTACACAGCCATCTGCAAACCTTTTCTATATAATGCCAAGATGACAAATAGATTCTGCTTGTCTCTTTCATTGCTGACTTGGTTCGGCGGGTTTACAATTAACTTTTTTCAGGCTATTGTTGTTTGGGCTTATCCATTCTGTAGGCACAATGTCATTGATCACTTCTTCTGTGATGCTGGACCTGTTTTTAAACTAGCTTGTGCTGACACAACTTTGATGGAGCTCATTGGTGTCATTTATGGGGCCATTGTTATGTGGGGTTCATTTTTCTTCACACTGGTTTCTTATGCCTGCATTATAGCCACCATAGTCCGGATCCCATCTGCCAGTGGGCAATCAAAAGCCTTTTCCACATGCTCTTCCCATCTCACTGTTGTCGGCATCCTCTATGGGGCATCACTTTTTATGTACCTCCGACCATCAACCCAAGGTGACACCCGAATCAACAAAGTGTTGTACTTTGTTACCATAGTGGTTATGCCCACCATAACCCCTTTTATCTTCACAATCAGGAACAAAGACTTCAAAACAGCTGCAAATAAATTACTGAGTGCAATGAGCCAAATCCCTTCGTTTGCTTTTGTGAAGATAATGAAGCAACAGAAGCCTTTGAAGAAAATGTATCCCATGTTCTCAAGAACTGTGACATAATTAGAGGTCTTCTGAGAAGCAATAACTTCCTACTGATACAGCTCTTTCATCCAAGTATCCAGAATCATGGTAGAGCATAACTGGAAAATGTCAGCATGCAAAGACATTTGAACCTCAGACACTAGACATATATTAGGGGCATTTTTAAAAGTCCTCAAATCTGAAGGTATCTCCTGATCCTTTTCTTTAAAACATAGTGGACCTAATGCTTTGCCTAGCCATCATTTTACTTTTAAAAATATATCTTTTGATTTTTTCATCCACCAGAGAACCATCAGTTTGCAGCCTTTTCTTCTTTGAAAAGTCCCCAATATGTACCTGGACAAAATGCACGTGAAAAAGAAGGCTGGTGCAAGATCACATCACACATCACATTTTTGTTGTTGTTGTTGTTGCATTCTTTAATCCAAGCACTGCTCAGCTGAAAGGGGGAGGGAACCATGAACTGAACACTCTGAATAGCTGCCCATTCACCCATTCCAAAATGAATTTTGACATTTGCTATCTTAAAGCAGAAGACAGATACTGTGAACCTGGGGAGAACAGCAAAGTGTCTGGTGGAGAATCTGGTCAGTCACACCTAACAAATATAAACAGGAGCCCCATAAAACTTCTGTCACTGATACCTCTTCTCTTACTGATTTATGGGACTGAGGAGGAAAAAAAAGACCCCAACTATCTGTTTATATTGTTAAGGTTATTTCATTTTGTGCTATATATAATTGATGGTTGTGGGTATATGATGACTTGAGGGAGGGAAGGTTGCATAATATAGCCTGATCCCATCAGATCTCGAGAGCTAAGCAACATCAACATTTGGATGGGAGACCACTAAGGAAGACTCTGTCGAGGAAGGCAATGGCAAACCACCTCTGCTTCTCACTTGCCTTGGAAGCTCCTTTGCTTGGGTGGCCATAAGTGGCTGTGACTTGCCAGCACTTTATATGCACACATCTTTCCCAAGCACTGTGGTTTTCTGCTCATGAGCACAGTGTAAGGGGGGGCCCTTCAGCCTTCTGTCTTGTACCGTTTTCCTGAGGGTATCATCATCATCGTCATCAAGAACAACAACATCATCATCATCATCACCACTATTATTATTATTATTATTATTATTATTATTATTATTATTATTATTATTATTATTATTATTATTATTATT